TAGGACCACAAGGGCGGCAAACGAAATGTTTTTTGTGGAGCGAACTTCAACTTCACAAGACACGATAATAGCTACAAAAATCTGAATTACTTGAAACCATAATAATGCTCAAAAATTCACATCAATGAAACAATATAAGTTTGATTGGGATTTTTGTGATTTTTATTTTCCTTTTATTATTTTTTTCTTTTTTGCACCAAATCCCACGCACACAGTCAACTCATAGTCAACGGCTTTCAAATTCGATCTGCAAAATGTGTGTCAAGAATAGCCCAAATAGGCCATGGCGTTTTGCCTCTTCAAATCCTTGTAGAACCTGGCGATGAACTCCTCCGCCGCCTCGTCCACCACGCGGCTGTCCTCCTCCCCGTCCCTCACCGGAAAAGGGGAGTCCGTTATCCTCAGCTGCCTCACCAGCGGGCTCGGCCCGAACCCGGGCAGCGCCGGCGACGCCCCCGCGCTCGCGCCCACTACTATCTCCAGCGCCGCCGCCAGAGCCCGCGCGTCCAGCGGCGACGCGACGGCGGTGCGGCCGAAGACGAGGGGGCTGTTGCCGCAGCTGAACTCGTACTCGGCGGCGCGGCGGCCGGCGGCGGGGTGGTGGAACATGAGGTTGTGGATGGCGGCTTTTCCGGCGATCTTGCCGCGCTTCATGAGGGTGGCGAGGTCGGCAAGGAGTTTTCCCTTGGAAATGCCTTTTCTCACCATTAAGTACAGAACCCTTATTATTTTCCATATCTTTTTCGTTACGATTGGTAGATTTTGCTCCATTTTTTTGTTTTATTTTGTTTTTGTAGAGAGAAAAAGTAGTTGGAATATGAAGGTGCAAGTTGTGAGTGAGCTGTATTTAAAGGCCGAGCTGGAAGAAGAAGACGACAACACAAACTAAACCGTATATACGTTTATTTTAAAATTACCCAAGTTGCACGGAACTTTCATGCTTTTATTTGAAAATAATAATAATAATAATAATAATAATAATAATAATAATAATAATAATAATAATAATAATAATGGTAATGATAAATTTTAAAAATGACAATGGTTTGATCAAGTGAGGTTTTTTGTCTTAAGAATTGAATATTTTTGCTATTTGGTCCAATGATTTTAAAATTCAACGCAATTTAAGTTCTTTATGGCTGAAAATGTAACAAAATTTAAAATTACAAGACTTAAATTACTGTCCCAAAATCCATCAGATGAATTTTTTATTAGCAATCTAAGTCTTGTAGTTTTAGATTTTGAGACTGAAATTGCAGTAAAATACTAAATTAAATTATCAAAAGATAAAAAATTAAAATCTTGGGACTAAAAATACTACGACTAAAAATTCAATTTTGTCGCATTTTAATCAATTATTGAATTGGTATTTTTGCAAATATTTTCCATAGGTATTTAATTACCGGACAAAGACTGAAATGTTGACGACAGTAATTGAGTTTTTATTTAATATTCCAGCCACTACGCTCAAAACGTCTGAAATTAATATGATTCTTTAAGTGGTACTTTCAGTTGAAGAATTTATGTTGGAGACGAGAAAACGTTTTTTCTTTTTTAATTTAAATTTATTGAGTGTCTTGAAAGAATTCATTATGGGTGGGATATAAAAATAGGCTGTAAATAAATATGATTCCGCAAAATATAATAAAAGCATGGAAAGTATTTGGGCTTGCCGATAGTCCGTAAATTCAATTTATCACGACATTATCAAATTATCAAAAAATTGTCGTTTGTTTTTTTCATTGATAAATTAAGTTGCAACTCATGACCTCTTGGTTAAATACGTATATTCGCCTTAAGGTCCAAGGGCCGACCCGGCCCGAAACCGGTCCCAGACCGGCCCTGAACCGGACCCGTATGGTCGCAATTCGGTCTTGATTTGTAATTTTCTTTTTTGTCTCGCCGGTCCGGGCCAGGTCGGGTCACGGATTGTGGAGACGGCCACAATGTTTTTTTCTATGGGCCGCACCAGCCCAGAACCGCCCAAAATTGGTCGGGTCGGTGAATCGGCGGTTCATGACCGTTCTATGAACCGACCCATATAAATAGGCGGGCCGGTCACGAGCCATTAAATTGAGGCCCAGCAGCCCGGAGGACCGGGTCGCGACACGGCCCGACAATTAGCCACATCTAAACGGGAAGTGCACCATAACATGGAGAGCCTTGGTGCACCATAGTGAGGTCCCATCTCAAAATTAATTGGTGGTAAGAGTAGTCCGCTAAGCTTGTTAGTTAAGCCTATTCTCCCTGTATAAAATATGTCGAATAACTCACAAGTGGTACTATATTCTGATATCACCAAACTTATTTGCGAAAACTGATGATGAAAAATTGACATCAATAACATATAACATAACTATGAAAAAAAACTAAAAATTTAACAAAAGTATTTTCAAATTATAAACAATACTTTTAGTTATATTTATTATATTTATAATATTTTGAATAAATAAACTGAATAATAAGAAATACTTATGATATTTAGAGCTTAAAAAATAATAAATGCATAGAATATATTTCATATATTAAAAACTGATAGATTAAAAATAATTTATAATTTAAACTATATATAAATTAATTAAACAATAAATATAATAAATTAAAAAATTAATATAATAATGTAAAAAAAATAAAAAAAATGTGTGAATTTATTCATAGCATCTGTTTTAATTGCAATAAAAACACTTACATTGTTTAAATTAATGAAATGATAAATATAAAAATGATTTTCACTAACCATTAGTAAATATAAAAGAATTCTTTTTTAAATTTAAAATTTTCATATTATGATTATTTTTATATTATAAATATTACTTTTATTTATTTAAATTTGCTTATATTAAATTTATTTATTTTAAATTTTAAATTCAAATATAATTTGTTAAATTTATTTAATTTATATTATATGAAAAAACAAAAGTAAATAAACTAAATAAAAATAACTTAAAACAAAAGTACTTTTTTTAATAAAATTATGTAAATATCAAATAAAAATGATTTTAATATTTTTTATAAGAAAAATTAACTAATAGTTATTATTTGATCATATAATTAAGCTTAAGAATATGTCCTTGGGAGAAAATTATTATTATTAGATGTTTGTGTTGTTTTTTTACTTTATCTTACTCACTTATAAATTATTTTGTTTAATATATTAAGTATAATTTATATATTTTATATATGAAGTACTATTTATTTATTTTATTTTACCTATGTAATTTATCTTATTAACTTTTTAGTTTATTTAGTTTTTTTTTATTTTATATATGAAGCAACAAGTAATTGTCGTTATTTCTTTTTTATTTTAATTTTTTTATTTTGCAATTAATAAATAATGGAGTGTCATACGCTAGGGGTATTCACGGTCCAAATTGGTCTGATTTTAGCCCAAACCATGATCAAACCAGACCTAAACGGTTAATTTTTTTTCTTGTCCATAACCGGACCAGTTTTATTTTTTGACCGGCCCTATCCGGACCGCATTGGACGGTCCAGTTTGGCGGTTAACCGGTTAAATCTAAAATCCTTGTTTTGTGCCTTAAATTTTTATTTTTTTTTTTCATTTTGGGCATAATTTTTATTTTTCAATTTTAGGCCCAGAGATTATTTGGGCTTAAAATTAAGGAAAACGACAATAATGAAATAAAAAATACATAATTCGTCCCATAAGCATAAAAATATACATTTCGTCCCATAAACATAAAAATACAAAAATGATGAAGATTAAATTATGCAAATTGAACCCAAACAAGAATTCATTTTTCAGTCAGTTTATACACCTGAAATAATAAGAGCAAAACATTCATTTTTCAGTCGCATCCTTCCTGTTGGGGATTTGGATTAGATGTATATGTATATTTGTTATAGTATTTTAATATTTACCGGTCCGGTTAAACCGGCGGTTTGCCTCAGGTAATCCGTTAACCAGACCGATTATTCCGGATTTTTAAAAAACTTAACCACCGAATTTTTTAAGGTTTTTTTAACCGATCAATTAACTGATCCGCGGTTTGGATTGACGGTTTTTTTCAGTTAAAACCGGACCATGAACACCCCTATAATACACACGCGCTGTCAATTTGAATGGAATAAAAAACGCGCATCAATTACAATATAATGAAGTTTTCATGCAATTTTTAAAATATAAGAAAAAAACGCGCTATTTTAATGTAATACAGGAAAATTTCACACATTTTCCCCGAACAAATAAACTACGGAGAGTCTATTTTTCTAAAAGGTACTAAATGTAAATAATGCAATTTTAGAGCGTCAAATAAATAACTCAAATGCTAATATGAAAAGTATGACATCATGTTCATAGGAGATGCTACAGTCCCGCTACGAACCATTCTGTTGAGGTTTGTAACCGTTAAATCATCATGTAACCGTTAGAAATAATTGATCTAACGGTTACAAGCACTGACTGAATGGTTCACTAACAAGACCGTAGCATTTCTCCATGTTCATAGTCATAATTATCTGCCACGGCACCAAATCTCTAATATGTTGTCATATATATCCATGTTTTAAATACCGTACCGTACCGGCCGGTATTACTGGTAATACCGGATACCGGTGGTCCGACCGGTACGGTTACACCCAAAATACCGTTTTGGCCAAAATATCGGTTTTATACCGAAAAATACTGGTTTTACCGCCAAATACCAGTCAAAAATACCGCTTTTCCCATTTTTTTTTAAAAAAAATATTTTTAATATATTTTTATTATTTTAATTATGTAAATTGAAATTTCTACACTAAATTTTAATATATTTATATTGTTATTAGATGTTAATTAATTTTAGTATTAATTAAAGTTCATTTTGTACATTATTTATATTATAACAATAAATTAATTTAATATTTATTAAAACCGGTAAAATAGACGATAATACTGGTCGTACCGGTAATACCGTATATCGGTCGCTACACCGGTATGACAACCGGTACGGTTTTTGAAACATTGATATATATGACGACAAGCACAATTAAAATAATTAGAGCTAGCTAGTCTAACAAATAAAGATGAAAAATATAAATTTTGTAATTAATCTTACTAGATACCATAGTTTTTAAACTCGGCTCGAGAATCGACCCGGGCAGGTCTCTGTGTCACCGGTTCAACCATCGCTTCAACTGCTGAACTGAATAATTAATTTTAACTTTTTTAAAATTATATACAGAGTATTTTGTTATATAAATATACGTAAAAATAATTAAATATTGTGTATATAAGTTTTGTACATTAATATTTTTTTTAAATGTTAATCATATGTATTTCATGATAATTGTTTACCATATAAATATATATACATAGTTTTATACTTTTATTTCTTAAAAACAAAAAAAAAAACATTTAAAAAAAAATGTATAGGGGTTGGGTTAACCGGGTTGACCCAATCGGGTCAATGCCCCGGGTCAAGGCCGGGTTGGCCGGGTCCTTTGTTGTCTGATTCGATTAGCCCACCCAGACCGATTTCAATTCCGGGCGATTGGGTTCGGAGTCGACTCGCCGGTCCGGGTTGAAAACTAGACACTATTTAGTTAGAAACTTTCATTAAACAATCAATTCCTATTGGATGAAAAATAACAAATAAAAGAAATTCTCGTGCATCAATATTGTCTACTCTTTTAGCTTACGCAAAGTGGCCCATTCAACTTTCTTTCCGACTTGAATCCAACAAAGGCTTTTGTTCAGCTCTCATTGGGTAATTCAACAGAGTTTTAAAGCGCTTTTTCATAATCCACTCGAGACTCTTTTTCATTCTTTT